TACAGAAAACGGAGGCTTTGCGAGGGTGTTCCGTGTAGATATGCGATCCCGGGAATTTAAATTCAGCTCCAGTGTACGAATGCATTTTACCGAAATGTGAAATTTTGGTGGTAATTTCTTAACTCAGGAACCAGGCAACATTTCGACAACTTTTGCACATCATTAAACTCTAACGCACCGAACATTTTTAAGGGCAAGAGCTGTGCACATTCTTAAGAGCAAACGTAAGCTGAACAGAACCGTGCAGTAGCGTGACTATTAGCTAGTTCAGTGTACGCCACCATTTATCGCAAAGATATAAAAAGGCATAAAAAGTAAAACATGTTGTCACCTAATGGGTTCTGCGAGCTGGCAGTGCTAGAAAGTGATGTAAAGGCACACATTTTCTTGAAATACATGAAAAGTCATTGCGCAGGTATTGCTCTCCAACAGTTCATGCCCGTAAAGAGCAGGGCCGATGTGATGATATCTGGTCGCTGATCTATGTTCTTGTTGAACTGCATGTCGGATTGCCATGGCATGGTATAAACGTATGCTTATTTCCATATTTTGTCCACTTCTTATTTTATAAATTTACGGTCAAATTACAGATAAGAAAAGACAGCACTCAATGCTTGCTTATTCACCTTAGCTTTGTGGACGTTTTTCTAAATACTAGGAAAAGCGAGGTTTCAGAAGTTGTCTGTTTTTGTGTTTCAAGCATCCGTTAAAGAATTTGCAGGAAAAAGAAGTAGGTTTAATGAAGTGTAAAATAGCCGACGAAACATTAATGGAGAATTGCCCGCGTGAGTGGATCTTTATAATGAAGCACGTGCGAACTCTGACCTACGAATCAAGGCCAGACTACAAAAAAATATACGACTTGTTGATGGATTGCATGAACCGGCTGAAAGTTTCCTTCTCCGATCCATACGACTGGGAAGATGCAGATTTAATTGATAAGGTATCATTTGCTCCTCAAATCATTTTAAAACAAATTTTCAATTTATTCTGTTCAACTGG